CGGTCTCTGAGTAGAGGAACACCTCCATTGATCAAACACAGAAGGTGAAATACACAACAGACTCGAATGAAAATAGAATGAGCGCATACCGAGAAAGGTGATTGCAATCTTGCGACGAGAGGATGAGGGAGATTAGATTTATTGAGCCAGTATGCGCGCATGCACGTGTAACATATAGCATAGGGCTATGCTCATTCCGTTCGCCTGAGCCATATTTCTGAGAGAACCTTTTTCGCATCGGCGAGTTCAATTCCGCTCTGAAGGGTTAGTATGTCTCTGACGACATGTGCACAGAGACACATCTTGCTTTCATCGGTTTCAAGTTGATTTTAGATATGCTTGATCGAGAGTCCTAAGTATGGAAACCTCTACCCCCCCTGCTCCTGCGTCTTCCCAAGACTGATACCAACGACCAGCAGTGCTGGTATGATATTCTTTGAGGACCGGTAAGTTGTCATGCAACATTCGTGGCCTCGAACTGATCATCATGATTGCGCCGATCCCATACAGTGTCCCCACTCTAGTGAACCCCGCTGCCCAAGCTACTACGATGGTGCAAGAGCCAGCCAAGTAGATAGCTGCGGATTCAAGGCTAAAACCCATTATTAGTGAATAGACTGGAGGAGAGGTGAATATCACGGACAGCAACTTGACGGCCGTATTGTATCTGTTAACGAATTTGGTCTGCCCAATGATTCTCAAACTTCGTCTTGTATATAATATCCGTCCAACAGTGAGACCAGTCAAAGCGAGATTGGTGGCGATCACGGATCCCAAAAACAGTCGGGGATCTGCCTGCAAAATTGAGGTGTCCGCATATGCCTTGTAGGCGCCCACGAATCCTAACACTGGTACGAGAGGACCCAAATCAGTTTTCAATCCGGCGAGATCGAATGTCGCACAAACCAGCAGTAGTGATAGCAAGAACAATCGGCACAACGACTACTTTTCTATGATGAATACCTCACACAGCGTAGCATCGGTAGATCTATCAGTCAGGATGAGATGACTCAGATAAAACGGCGAAACTAAGCTCACCGGAAGGCTGTCCGGTATTGCACTAGATCGAGAGTGTATTAGGCAGTTTGAACATGGACGAGCAATGGAGGGGACCAACTTATTATTTATTACCGTCAGAAGAACCTCCGTAAGCAGAATCGCATTCTCCATATTCTGGAGTGCATAAACTGTCGCGGCATCATCCATTGCGGCTAAGTATAGCATTTGTATTCTCAGCTTGGTGGTCACAACCTGTAAAACCATTTCGGTAGTGCCCAAGAGCCACATCCCTAGGATTAGACAGCCAAAGGTCCGAACCCCCGCTGGTCTTCGCTGGTGCAAAAACCACAGCGTGCAAGTATGACCAAAATGACATAGATTCCTGTTGCAATGCACTGTGCAGACTGATGAAATGAATAGGGGAGTGACATACCCTGCATGAACAATACAACCTGTTCCACAGTCAACCCAGGGTGATCTTACTGAAAGTGCCCATACCTCAGTCGTTATCAGGCTCTACGATGCAATATGCCAAGTGTCTTCGATAATGGTGAAGTTTCCCATGGACAAGAGTGTGGATGTTCGATGTTCGGGAAGTAAAGCGAATCCTACAGGATGTTGAACGGCAGCACTACATTTTATAAGAGTCTCTCCAGGTTTGGTTTAAAACAAGCTGTTCGGCAGAGTAACTATTGTTGTGTTTGAACTGTTAGTTGATAATCTTTTCTGCCAATCGATCCTGAACGATAGCAACCATCGCCAATCGCGGAGCAGGCGCGAGAAAGATTTGTCCCGCAGCAGTCAGATTCCAAGTGTAACCTAGAGGTCATATATTCCCCGACGCAGCTTTAGGTACGAGGGTGAAGGGGCCTATGGGCTGTCGCATATGATTATTCGTTTATTTTATTTTTCATCTTCGAGTTCTGGGGGCTCTTGCATGTATCCCGACATGGGAACGACATGCTTTTTTGTACCTGGGTGTACTGGGTTTCAGCCCGTGTGACCCGTGATACACCACTTAAAAATACGACATATTTGTCTTCAGTCAACTCGTAGTGGAATCTTGATTCCTAAAAGTCAAGGTGTTTCGTAGTTGAAATCTCGCCCTAAGTCGCACCACCGCAAGTTGATCAAGTCGTGTATACGACCACATCTCGAGATCCGACTTCTGCCCACACCTGTGCCTCAGCTGCAGCTCTGATACATCTTTACATGTCCTGTAACCTGATCCGTGAACACTCAACTCTAGGCAGAAACATCCCACTCACAAACGGCACCTCAACTACTGCTTCAACTTGGCTCGATTTGGGCCAAATTGAAATGGAGCAGTTGAGGCACAAGTCAGGCTTGAAATCAAATGATGAGATGAAACAGCCTCGAACGAGCGATCCTGCGAACGTGCTGTGCGGATCAACCGCTACCTCTTACTTGGGACCCTCGTCAAAGCACGTAATTTGACAGGTTCCTCCCCAGCCGCGGTTTCGAGGATAACAATCTCTGTAGTGGTCTTAAAATTAAATACAGAGAAAATGTGATTATTTGTAATGTGACCAAAAACACGTGTTGTTACTAGTGACCGAAAGTTTGGGTTATCCTCTCCACGGCGGCTGGCGGATAACTTATACAAACAACATAGCCACAATTTCAAGAAATCAGTGAGAAAGTCATTGGGCTCCTTTCAACATGATATATAAAATAGCATGTGTAGCCCAGAAGGCTCTAATGTACTATAGAAGAGAGTGGAGGAAATATTAGAGTGATCTGCAACCCGTTTCGGACTTGCTACTGTGAATACTGCTAAGAATCGGTGATTTCTTCTACTTCTTCTACATCAAGCTAAAATAAAACCAAGGACCCACTCTCAGGGCTTTATAAGTGTCGAAGCCCCTCATTTGAGGGTAAATACCAATATATTTAAGTGTGACCGAAGACATAGCTGATTTTCTCCATCATTTCTCGAAATTGTGGCTATGTTGTTTGTATAAGTTATCCGCCAGCCGCCGTGGAGAGGCTCATCCCAACTTTCGGTCACTAGTAACATCACGCATAACACGGTCCGAAATTCCCGGTCAGTCGATTTTTCTGTATTCAATTAAAATACCGCTACAGAGATTGTGAGCCTCGAAACCGCGGCTGGGTAGGAACCTGGTAATTTGAACGAATAATCATGGACGCACAAACTTACAAGATTTGTATAATAGCACCATACCAGTATCTGCTCGCCATACATATACTGTATCACTTCTGCACGATAAATTTGAGAGTCTAACCAGTGACCCGGCCTCCCGTCGAAGAAGCCCGTCCTACAGAACCTTCCACGATAAGGAAACACTGGGTGTAGGTGTGGAAACCAACCGCTACCGGGCCATGTTCCTGCTACTTTGGAACATGAATAGATCAGCATCTGAATCGAATGAGTTATTCGTGAATGGCGTCGAAAAGGAAAGAGGAGAGTTCTGCAAAGCTTCGCTAGTTGAAAATTAATCATATCCTGCGCCATCGAGTGGTTGTTGAACGGGCATTATTGTGATACCTACAAAGTTGAACCGTGGACCACGAGTGAATTAAAATAAAAACGCACCACATACCCATTCTACGGCCCGAGCCCGAGTCGAAAGAGCTGAGCCTGCATCGATAGTGCCCTGAAGCAGTTCTATCTGATGCAGGTGCGGAACCATCCGCTACCGGCCTTATTGTAACACCTGCGAACTTTGTTATATCATTTAGGTTCAGACGAATAATTTGGGAGGCACAAAATTACAATGATAGTGCCGGATGGGGACATACAAATGATCCCGTGTATTACTGCCGTTTGCATAAGTCTGTGAAAACACGAAAAAAAGAAATCACGGGTCACGTGTACGTTCCGAACGATGCCGGACATGCAGAACTTCATAAGAAAAATGTGAATTTGTACTCACAAGGGAAGGGAAGTGCAGTTATGAGATGTACATAATTCCGAGACATAAGATCAAAATCGTAGACTTATGCAAACGGACGCCCACAAATAAAAAATACTTTGCGCACCTTATGACCCGAGCTCGAGTCGAACGAGCGCGTCCCCCGGAACCACAACAGTGGGTGCAAGTGCGGAAACCGTGGCTTTTTTTCTGGTACCTGGGCGCATTAATAGATGAGCATCTGAATCGAATGCGTTATTCGTGAATGGCATCGAAAAGGAAAGAGGAGAGTCCTACAAAGCTTTGCGAATAGAAAATCAATTATATCCTTCACCGTAAAAATGGTGTGGAATAGGGCATTATTGTGGCACCTAAAAGGTCGAACGGTGGATTAAACACACTGCTTGCCCGTCCCACAGCCCGAGCCCGAGTCGAACGAGCGGAGGTTGCATTGATAGTGCCTTGAAGTATTTTTATCTGATGCAGGTGCGGAACCATCGGCAACCGGGCCTTAATCCAACACCTGTGAACTTCGTTACAACATGTAATTTGAAGCTCATAGAACATAATCATGCTGACCACGGTTTCCCAGATTCTTCTTGTGCGATATGAGAGCTCGAGAGGGTCACAATGGACAAGAAAAAAAAAAGGGAACACTATTACACCGATCCTATGGCCCGAGCCCGAGCTGAACGAGCGGTCTCTGCATGTACAGCTGCAGAAGAAAGTGTTGCGGGTCCGGAACGGAACCATAGCAACGGGACCTTATTTCTGGTACTCAGGAACCTCGTTATACCGTAGAATTAAAAGCAACTCACAGGAAAACACCAGGAGATATATGAACTCAGCCGCAAACCACGGCTTCCCGGATTTGCTTCCTGTATGTGCTGTATCCGGTCACAATAAATTTGGGAAGGTGGAAGTAAAGGACGTAAACACACCCATTTCTCGTACTTAGAGCACGGAATCTGAGACAGAAACCACTGCTTCCTGCTTGCGATAAGTTCCTGCTCGCCATAGAGATCATGCGCTTGTCAGCGCGATAATATGAGAATCCAGAGGATCGAAATGGACTCCCAAAAAAGCAGTGGAAACTGACAATGGCCCGGGCTCGTGTCGAACGAGCAATCCTGCTGAAACCGGACTTCAAAGGGCATATCGAATGCAGGCGCGGTCCATCCGCTACCGGGCCTCTGGGAACCGACATATATCAGCATTTACTCTTCGATGCTCACGCACATAAGTGGAACCGTCCGCTACCAGGCGTTTCTTCTGGTACCTGGGAACATGAGCAGTTGAGCAGGAATGAGTTGAGCGTGGCCGGTGTCGAGAAGAAAAAGAGAGGGATAATCAGACCCATTGCCCGGGCTCGAATCGAACGAGCAGTTCCTGCAGGATGATGTTCTCAATCTGTATTATTGAGTGCAGGTGCGGTGCCACGCCACCAGGCCTTGCTTCGAATCTATACGAGAAGCATGGGACTGGGACTCCCCCATCAGTAAACGAGTCCCATTAATGTTGACACAGAGTCATCAGAAATGGGACTCGTCTTCTCAACAACTGAACACCATCAATATGTGACCTCACACTCCAATATATATCCCCCTACCCCAACAGTTAACCAAACCTAACCGCTAACCTCAAGGGACTTAGTGGCAAAGCTTATACCCAGACCTAGGGCAGGCAAGCTGCCCTAGGTCTTCGGAATAGTTTTTACACGGCTTATGTGTTCTTGTATTTTTTTATATCCATCCCTGGGGACACTGACACTAACCAACCTAACCGAACCCTAACCCTAACCACTACCGGCCCCTAAGGCGGGGCCAGTCAAATCTATGTGTGCGCGCCATTTTGTTATCCCGTACATAATCGGTCACATATTGATGGTTGTTCAGTTGTTGAGAAGACGAGTCCCATTTTTGATGGGTTGAATCGCACATCAATGAACGAATCCCATGTTCTTTGTCAGCATTAATGGGACTCGTACTGATGGGGGAGTCCCAGTCCCATGCTTTCATCGCTGTGAAGTGGATCAGGATAGAGTGCAATAGGACGAAAGGGATGCTTATAGTAATGAACGACGCCGAGTGTAGTTTCAGAACCGGAGATCATGCAGAAGGAGCGGCTAGGAATGGTTATGAGCATCATGGGGAGTGGTACAGTAGTGGCGAAAGACGTTAATGAAGGCAAGAAGCAACAGAGGTCGGAAGTTCGGGCCGGTCTGGCGAACCCTAACCCTGGCTGGCTCTCGCGCTCATCTCCGACAACGCACTCGGACGACTACCGGGAAATCACGACGAACGGCGCATTCCTTTCGCGTGGACATTCTGTTGGTCATGACCAGCGTAAAACCCTGAGGACTGCAAACACATCTGCGAGAAGTTGAAGTTGGCGCTTCCAAGTTCCGTTTTGCTAGCCAAAGTCCGCCGGCCCCACCTGGAAACCTCCCGCTCGCGTGCCTGGTAGCTGGGGCCCAGACACGTTGGGTTATCTCATGTCGCGCGTCCCCGTATTCGTCTCCGTTGCCGCTGGCTTATATACATCTCCGACCAGCCCCGGTACTACTGTGAGTCTAGCATATCGCCATGCCCACGATCTTTCAAGACAGCTTGAGGCGCACACGCCGTGTACGTCCCCTAATACTAGTACTCCTTGCTTCTCTTCACTCACACCTATGTAGATTGCCCTTTCTATAGCTATTACTCCCCGTTGCGCAACGTCAAATCCGGCCCGTTACCCTTCACCGCCGCCATCATACAGTATCATCAACAAGCTCTGCGTCCCGTCCCGACCCATTGTGCGATTAACATCTCGTTAGATTTGGATTGGGATTCTCTATGCACCAAGCCGATGCGTTCCTCCCGTCGACCTCCACCCTAAATTCTGCCTTATGCCGCTTCCCGCCCTATATTGCTTACCCACTCCGATTCGCGATCTTCCTCGGAACGGCACATCGCTCCGTATACATGTATACTAAGGTTTGTTGAACACGGTGATCAGCACGTCCCCTCGGCAATATTGATCCTCATACGTTAGTGGATAATCTCCGTCGTTGAGAAGTGAAGCATGTCGCCACGTCAAAAAGTGACCGACGGACCTTGTTTCGTTGACGACATTTTCTTATTCACGACTGATACCGTATGGGTACACGGCGATTCCTCACATGGAAACCCGTCGACGCCCCGCAATAAGATAAATTGACGAGCGTGCAAATTGCGGACTCTAACGGCTGGTCCGCTCATTCATCCTTTCTCTGCTTGCTTATCAATATGCGTGTGACTATCTCCCTCTACCTCCTAGCCTCCCTGTGCCTCGAAGGCCATGCCGTTCCACTCACTGCCGAGGTACGCCAATCCAAGAAAGCGCTCTGACCGTATGCCGACGTTTCAACACACAGCCAAGCGACCTTCCGTGGTGTGATGAAATTCCTGATCCCTCGAGTTCTGCAATCCAGCCAAGTTCCACTGTGTCTGGATGTCCGGGTAATTCGATCGTTTGGAAATGAATGCAGCACGACTGAATGAGAGTGATATAGCAATACCAACATCTACCCTCGCCCCCGTTCAAGACCAGCTCCAAGACAATTATGAGGTTGATTTTAAGCCAACCGGCGATATGGCCGGTCATATCCAGCAACTCCAGTCCTTCATCAATGGCTACGCTAATTGCACGACATTCAATAACAGCGTCACCGATCAGTTCAGTGATGATGTCGTCAAGTTTTACACGGGAAATTTCGACGGAAGGGCTCTTCAGTTCATCTCAACCTCGGCGGGTGTCCTCGGCATCGAGCGATCGACCGCCTTTGAGCTGCCATCATCTAATCTAACCGATACAAACGATAACAACAGTACCTCGAGTCGACGTAAAAGGGATAATTTAAGTCGCCGTAGGACCGGTGCCCCTTGGTGAGCGCTGTCCGCTGGGCCTCGTTTCCGTGTTGATCCTTTGGATTGACAGGAATCTCCAAAGAATAACGCAGGATGGGCCTTTGACCCAGGGTGTAAAGAACCGGAACCCGTTCGTGACGACGCCGAATACTGAAACCACCCTTGATTGGACTTATAACATCAAGGACGGTCAAATTGGGAAGAATGTCTGGGTACTTGCGGGTTATTTACACTCACGTCATTGATTAACGCCTTTTCGAAGGTCTACGTACTCGACTCTGGGGTTCAGACGAGCCATCCGGAACTTGCTGGACGAGTGCAAAACCCTCCTATTCAGTATATCCCGCGCATCGTCCACCCGGTGAGCGTGCACACTTTGTACCGCATTCATGGCCTCTGATATCAGGGGTTTAGAACCTGAACGTCCTAGACACACACGGCGTTTGTGTTTTCTCTTCACGTTCAGCAGGAAATGTATTAACAAACGAGCGATAGACGGCCGTGGCCAGCGTCATTGCCGGAAAAACCCTGGGTGTTGCGAATGCGGCCGGAATCATCTCCATTAAGGTCCGTGGTTCCAACTCCTGGCGCGCGTAGGCCGGACCTCACTCTCCGACCAAAGATTCAAAACCCCCCATTCAGGCTGGCTAACGGGACGGTAGTGTTGCAAACAATTACAGCGACCATTACACAGGCAGTTGGTCTAGCGAGGCAACATTATGACCAGACCGCGGACAAAGGCACGACATCAGCCATCATCAACATCAGCTACGAGACCCCGAATAACCGCAACCTAGCGGCTGAAATTCAGAGAGTGTGTGCTCAGGAGCTTTAACACTTGAAATTCTTCGTTCTCACTCAGATTACAGGCTATCGCAGACGGCATTCATGTTGTAATTTGTCAGACATTGCTAGTTCCTTCGAATTGTCTTTATTTGACGACGCATCGAAAGCTGCAGGAAATGATGGACAAGATAAGGTAACTGATTGTGTTCTGACCTCCGCTGTGGACTCAGGCGGTCCTTTGTTTTATCAGTGCCAGGAAACGGTAGCGGATGTAGGACAAATCGTTGTTGGCGCCACGGACATATACGACAAGAAATCCTCGTTCTCCAATTTTGGGCCGGTACGGTAGCGATCTAGTATCTCAAATTTACGTGACTGAACTGGCGTCATATGGAGTGTGTGGATGTCTACGCCCCAGGAACATCCATCCTCTCAGCTGAGCTCGACGAGACGCAGGTTTGTCCGAGTTCCAATCATCCCTGAGGGACTAATTACACAGTCGTTGGTCACATAGCCGCAGGATAACGATGGTACTTCCTTTGCCGCGCCTCATGTGGCTGGAATGATAGCTGCAATCATATGTGAGGTTTTGTACGACCAGGTTCTAGAGAGTGCTAGCTGATCTACCCGTTTAGCATCGGGACAAAAACTGAACCCCGCGGACATGAAGCAGAAGATAATCGCCGATGCCGGAACGATCGAAGACTTCTCCCAATTCACAACTTCGCACAATCGGTTGGGTAGGTTCGACAGCTCTATGCGGGGCACTTCTGCCTAGCCATCTCAGCCCTCAGCTGCAGCTGCCTAGTCGATCGTTGTACTAGTTAAATTTCAAAAGAAATAATATTTTATACTGAGTCCATCCCATTTCATGTGTGCTGCTGGGCGGCACCAAACCTTGTTTTTTTTTTCTTATCTTTACTTTCGGGTGCAACATGGGTAACATGCTTGCACCCAACCAGATACTGTAAAGATTGTTCCCGCATTAACACAACCCATTCCGTCCCCCTCCGCTTTTCTTCATGGACGATGTCAACAGTATGGTCAGGAACCTCCATACAACCGGTACCACGACCGTAGAAGACCAAGTAGGGAGGAATTCTGTCTCCTAACCCTACCCCCAGAAGTGCTGCGGCTACGCACTGCTGTCTCCCTCTCGATCCATTTCACCTCGGGTCTCGCCTGCACCCAGCGGAGGATAATCGGTGGAAGCGTTGCATAATAGTGGGATCGAGGTTGCGAATCAAACGGGGGGTCCACGCTGAATTCCACATCTTCTTGTGACGCCATTGGGCAGCCCCGGAAATATTCCCTGAGACGCTCCAAGTGTGGCTGCAGCTGATCCGCGGAGTGTAACTCAACCCCGTACATGTGGGGAACGTAGGAGACGTCACTCATGCCTGTCAAGTTCAGCTCTGTCACTTCGACGATGCGGGATTCTGTACATGCTGAGCCAAACGATTCAAGCCCAGCAGAAATACTTACCTGCGGGTTCTGTGTCGGACATGCGTGACAA